TCCTATTAGGTTTTACTGATTATTTTCTCTTTCCTTCTGTCAGATGCATTTCTGTTGGTCAGCATGCGTCAAAACTAAGGGTTTTTATCAGCCTTGAAGTGAGAAAATAATAAAATATATAAAACTTAGTCTAAACAAGAGAGATTTTAAAAAATAAAATAAAAAAATATATATATATAAAATTCAGTTTGAAATAAAAATGTAAAAAGATAAACTGAAAAAAAAAAGTCTATTTGAAAACATGCTCATTGCATAATTAATGGCACAAATTTAGACTCCATAATGTTGCACTTGGTTGAAGCTGGTAGCTTTAAATTAATATTAAAAACAGCAGATGCTAAATAAATACCCAGTGCTGCAGCCCTTTAGCTTCTAGCTGGGGATTCCCTTTGCAAACAAACAGCGCTATGTAAGTATTATAAGAAAATAAAAGTTTAGAGTCGGTTTCTTACTTCTATTCCTATTTTGTTATTATAATGGTTGTTAAGAATAAAAACCCACTGACTAACAAACTTTTGATGAAGAGCAGAAAAAAGAGGAAATGAAGCTGCTCTAAAGAGTCTGTCAGTGGCACATTTATATCATTAACTTAGCAGCCACATCTGAACCCCTCGGCAGCTTTAGCTCCATCCCATTCCCAGCTCTATTCCTGGCTCATTCATCTTGGAATCAAACATTTTTTAACACTAGATCATCACTAAGGGGTGGACCTGTTCTTCTGGTTCAATTTGCATGTTTTCATGGACATAACAAGGCTTTGCTGAGCTACTCTATAAAACCTGGAACTCAACACTACTCCAGACATTTGAAATTGAAAAAGCTTCCTGGATGGGAAGCGAAACATCTTCAAACTTGGAAAACATTCCAGTGGATTGTTTTTTTGTTTTTGTTTTTTTACATTTTTGGAACCCTGGATCTTTGACTGTTTCTCATTATTTTTCCAATTTGCTATAAGCTGCTAACTGGCTTAGCCACGGTAGTGAAACACCTCTTTGTTTACCTGCTGTGCACATGCTCAGTATTGGACCTCGCTTGTAATTATATGTATAAATAAAAAGCTTTAATCTCTGAGCAAAAAGAAAGCAGAAAACACAAAAATAAATAAAACATCAGCTCTAATTTGTAAAAAAAAAAAATAAAAAATAAAAAAAACTGCAACGCACCAGAGTGAGATACTGGAGTATACATTTTAAAAATGCCGAACAGGACTATGTGCCTCTAATGATAAAAATCTTCTGGAAAATGATGAAAAACAATTAGTTCTTTATTTTTTGGCAGATTTGTTTAATTTTTCCCTAATATTTTAGCCCAAATCACAACCTAGCTCTGATTACTATTTTACCTTTTTAATATATTTTGCATTCTCTTGCCTTTTACTTTTGATTATGTCATGGCCCCACTAATTAAAACAATGTATATATATAAAGTATTAAATGGTCATCATTGCTTTGGGGAGTGGCGGCCTAGTGGGAAGGGCATAGAGCTTGGAATCCGGAGATTCTCAGTTCAAGCCCCACTCCCACAGACTGCCACTCTGGGTCCCTGAGCAAGACCCTTAACCCCACACTGCTCCCTGGGTGCTGCACAATGGCAGCCCACTGCTCCCCAAAGGGATGGGTTAAATGTTGCTCTGTACTTGTGACAGTGTAATGATAATAGAAAACAATACTACTAAAGGTTTGATTTACAGGAATTCCTTTGCCTACAGGCCCTTGTTCATCTGGCTCAGTCTGATGACTTTTCTTTACAATGTTTTGAAAATTTCTTTATTGTCTAAAATAATTTGTTTTGTTTTCAATCCAATCAGTTTAGATCAGTGGTTTAGATGGATTTAAATCTCTTTAAGAATGTCTTTTTATTCACTTATAGACAGATTTTAATTTGAAACTCATTAGCTTGGTTCTACGGTAAAAACATAAATTATGATGCAGACTCCCATCAACAGCAGGTAGATACTGACCACTAATTACTCCACAGACCCTCACTGAGGACAACCTTTAAATCCTTTTAACTCAAAAGTTTTGTAGAACTTCCTATAACCTTGTTTTTATTGTACTGTTCTGGAGACGCAGACTCTATCCTATCAGAGGAGCAACGGATCCAGTCATGCTACTGATTATCGGTTCACATTTAAACGAAAGATTTTCATCCAACTTTTGACAAAAAAAGAAGAAAACTGATGAAAGAAGAAGGAAATGGGTTTTTGATAAAATGTTAAAGGATTTATCTTTCTTAGGGTCAAATTTCTTTCCTTTAAAAAGTTTCTTTTCATTCCATCATTTGTAATAAAAACAGAAATAACAATAATAATATTAATAATTCCAGCATAAAGTTGATGTGTTTGTATTTTTTCCAGATCCCAAGTTTCAGCTGATGTACTGTAACATCCCTGTTGCCATGGGTTACGATGTCGCCTCCAGATGATGCGTCTCTTAATACAGCCTGTTACAATTTATTCATTTCTTTTAAAAAGTGCATTTGTTTTTTTTGTTTTTTATTTCATGAAATAATAAAAACAAAATAAAAAAAATGGGTGGATAATAAACGTCGTCTTTCTAACATTCAGGTAGCACGTTCCATAATTTGCTCACAATATCTGGTACATTCATTTTACAGCGCCGACTGCAGAGTTCTGCTCTGAGCCAACAGACACAACATGGCGAGTGGGAAACGACTTGTTTCAACTGTTCAACAAGATGGTTAAAAGTAGAAATGTTTCATACTACACTTAACATAAAGACTTGCCTTATTATTTACAATATATACTGTAAAACTGTAAATCAGGTGAGATAAAAAGGCACAAGTTTCCCTTTTTTTAAATACATGTAAACATCTTGTCAAAAAGCATGCAATAACATTTTGTTTTACAAAAAGGATAGCATTTCTAGACAAAGTACTTAAATATTGTTTTCCAGCAAAATATAATTCTCTCAAAAATACTTTCCTCATTCATTCTATGAACTGTTAGACATTTTTTATTCTTTAAAAAGGACAACAAAATGGACTAAATGAAGAGTCAGTGTTAGGGAGGCTGTGAAGTAAAACCAGTCTACTAATTATTGCAGTTGGGGAGGGAAAAAAAAAGACTTATTTCTGAAAGAGGGGAAATCGGGCCCAGGTTCTTACTTCATGCTCTGTCCCATAATTCATGGTTTAAAAAGAAACTAGTTATCAGGAGAACATTTGACACCAATCTCGGATAACCCAGTTCCCCTCAGATAAAACGGAATCCTCTCCTCTTTCTGATCCCCGTTTCTGTTTGCCTGAAAATGAACTTCAAGCTGCAGGAATGCAGCAGTTGAGCCGAGGCCATGAGTTAGTGAGTCTGGTTCTTTTTTTCCAGTCCCACCATGGAGACATTCAGTCAGGAGAGTCCAGCCCGTCTACATTATAAACTAATTAAAAAATTTTCAAGTTTATGGAAAAATATTACCAGTAGAAATGCACCGATCACTTTTTCTGACCTGCTGAATCCCATTTTAGCTGTTTCTTATTCTATTTGAGAAAAATTATATGCAGCATTAAAAAAGCAGCTAATTAAGCTTTAGAGCAGAGAAACTGCAGCGTGTTCGATCAAGAAGTCGCTGCATATCCCAGTTCTAAATGCTTTGGCATCTTTAGCCCCTTTCATAAGTAAACTACTGGGACCACAAGAATTTGCTCATTGCACAGATGCAAACCTGTCCCAGTAAAATATTGGTTCAGCTCTTTTTACACTCAACCTGGAAACCATGGACTGGATCTACCTACCATCACCTGTAGGTGGCAGTAATCTAAACGATACAGCTTTAACTGATCAAGCAAGAAATTAGAAGTCTGGCAAACAGGACCTGTGGCTCTTATGTTGTTAGTGGCTTATTGGGTTGGCAGGCAGGCTTTAAAAGCAGCACTAAATAACATTTTTACCTCAATACGTCTCCTTCTATGTCCCTGTGATGGGAATGTGTCAATGAGATGATTAAGTGGCCTGTCATATCCCCCTACGGGCTCTGGTTGGAAATCCATGCTTTCTATTCCAATGAAAAACTGGTGTCTGCAGCTCAGATCTTGTTCTCTAGACAAGACGAATAGCTTTACGGCAGCCCATTGTTTGGGCTTGACTTTGTTGGCAGTACTACCCACCTCCCTGGACATTTGGTCGTTATATGCGTCTTCCATCGGCTTACAGTTACATCTTTGTAGCTGTCAGTGTTTAAAACTGCGCTATTTTAAAATTGTCCAGTAGGGGGAGCACCACAAAAAATTACTTAGAGCTGCTATAATGTTATTAAAAATTTGAATTTATGTCCAGTGTATAATCTGTTGTCCCAAAGAGAGGCTAGCTGTTATCATGTCATATGTAACTGAGTCCCAAACTTCCTGACAGCCAGCGTTCTATTTCAGTCTTTGCGGACGCAGAGGAGGTCTTCTATTTCCAGGTCCGACTAGTTTTCAGCCATCATTAAAAACTTGCCTTCTTGCTTGATAAAATATTGCCAGCTCGTTTATCAGCTTTGCTGTTGTTGCAGAGGTTATCATGTTGCTAGAAAATGTGTCACTATGAACGTTTCACGTAAATTTATAAATGTGTGCCAGTAATGTAACAGAGCAGTTCTGGTAAATTAGCGGGTACGGTACTAGGTCTTGAAATGGTAAATTTATAGGTCAGTTTTACTATTATTATTCACACATAACTCTGACCCAGTATAAGTTAGCTGTAAATTACTTGGTCAGGTTGTAAGTGGAAAGAGGCTTTTTTGCATTTTAGCACAGTTAGCAGAACAGCAGTCCCTGTTTGTTTTCTCTAAAATATTTAAGCTGGCACCAGCATTTCCAAAGTCCAGTTCATTTCCATTAGAGGAAACAACAGGATAAGCCACTGCTTGGCTATCGCACTGTAACCTTCCTGTTATCTGCTCAAATCTCTCCTCTCATTTTATTTCATTTACTGCCTAAAATGATTCACATTCTTAAGTTTAAAGTGACATATTTATCTATTTTTTTCTTCTAACCGGAAGAAGCAGAAATGTTATGGAGTGGCCCAATCAGGGACAGAATTGAGATCTTACCGTCTCCTAAAGATTAGGGTGATGATAATGTGGCTTTCCAGCCTCAAAGACATTAGTTCATCACCAAAGGCTAACAACAAAGAAGTTTAATTAACTGTATACTTCTTATATTTTTATTATTTTTATGTCTTTTGTGCTTCTTATGATAAAGAAACTGCTACGCTTGAGTTCTCCCCCAGTACCAACTTCCACACCAAAGAGTGGAATAGTTGGCATCACCTCGTAGGGTTGGGGTAAAGTGCATTTGCTGACCTGAAATCTGTCAGGTGTTGTCGTTTCTGAATGACCAAATTTCACCGACCTGGTCGAGCAAAGATCGGCTGATGATCGGTGCATATCTAGAAGGAAAGATTCTTAGCTTTTCTGGTGCGTTCCCACCAAACATGACTCCAGCGGATTGTGCACATTATTTGCATCCTGTAGCTTGTCATTTCACCAACAATTAGTGCAGACAAGGCAGAGCTTTCCTCAGCGGGTCAACATATCCTCTAGAGATGCTCCTAGTTCGGGAAGTCCAAGATCTGCAGCTGGATCACAGTCGCTTCCTGTGGTACTTCCCTCTGTCCAGGGTTCAAACCTGTCATCCCACTTTGGGGATGCAATGGGATAAAAGTGGAGTGTGCTCCTTCACCCGACCAAACAGCCACATTCAGTCTCTGATTGGATGATGCGATGTGAATGACAGAAAATTTGGATTTTTTAACTTTTGAGCTAAATTTTCTCCATGTTTCTGTTTGCTTGATTTGTCTCAATAACAATTGGTCCTCTGCATTGCTTTGCTCTGTCACGCATTATTCATGTTTGGTGGGAACTCACCACTAGGGGTCAGTTTAGTTCGCCTGTGCCTTGGGCCGGTGTAGGTACCAACTCTGCTCGGGTGGTTAGATCTGCTCCGGGTCCTGCCCTTTCTTATGACATCATCATATAGCAACGCCATTTGGACAAACTGTATTAAACCTGTTTCTTGACAATCAGATCTCTTCTTCTCACCATATTATTACCTACATTTGCTATTATTTTAAGTTTCATCAGCGTTCTAAAGTAGCCGAAAGCAGAAAAGAATCACTCAGTGTTGAAGGAAAACACTGGCTTCTAAGACAGACTCTGTTCTGACACAAGAAGTCTCAGTGCTGCTTCTTATTCTTTTTATTATGATCTGAGAACAGGGAAGGACAAATGGAACATCTCAAAAATGACTTTGTAAAGATTTTAAACAAAAAAAACAAAAGTTATTCTACTTGTAGAAAACCAACAGTTGTTATTGACACAATGTTAAAAGTAGTGAAGCTTAATATTCCCAACTGACCGAGCTAAAAGAGGCAAACCTGTTAGCTACTGAGCACAGCTAGGCACAGCTCTACTCAGCTCTTCTCCTTTATATCATGTTCTTGTAGTTACTTTGTTCACCATAAACATATTTTTCCACCTTTGTTATCAATCTGGTAGAACTCCATCATCATTAGACACACTAACACTACAGATGCTCCCAACTCTGCAAACAGACGTTGCATTATGTTATTATCGTTGTCTGGGCAACCACAATGTTTTACGTCATATGGCAACGTTCAGCCAACTATATAGTGTGACGTCACTGGCATGCGAAGGGCCTGAGCGGATCTGACCTCCCGAGCAGTTCTGGTACCTATACCGGCGGTGCGAGGTGTTGGTATAGCAGCTCACTAGCGCCACGCTAGGCTGCCAACGTCCTTCACTCCTTCTCTCTGTGATGGAATATAAACCAACCCTCCATACTAGCTGCACTAACGCCTCATTTCACATGGTTCTTCCTCTGTGCAAACCCAACGTGGAAATGAGATATGCCTAAACTTAGAAATGTGAGCAGGAAAACCCACCCTTAAAGAGCAGAGAGATTCATCACATACTGGTCAAAAAAGAAACACTTCATAAACACATGTAAATACACACTTAGGGCACATCAACCGGAAAACAATCATGCTCGTTATCTTCCTGCGACTCTTCAGTAGCATCACTGTGGCTTTTTTTTCCCCCCACAACCAGGACCCAGGACAATAAAATGGTCTAAAAGACCCGAGTGACAATAATAAGAAATAAAATAAAGCAGGAGGGAAAGAAAAAAGTGACCAATCCAGTAGAATAATCTGTTCTTCATCAACACATACCTTCAAACATCTTCTGTACATCAATGTGTAAGGAGTTAGAACCTGTACAAACTCGTCTGGGATGGGTGTGTTAGCTGTTAGCAGAGTAATGCTCCATGTTGGATACTATGAACTTTACAGAGTAGGTGTGTTTAAACTTTGTGTCCATATATGGTATCGTCTACCTATTACTGTACATGTCAGGTGTCGCCCAGCTCTGTAGAAATTAAGCACCTAAACGTGGAACGACTGACTTTTCCAAAAACAAGAAACCCTTCTAGAAAATGTGTTTTATTGTCTCTGGGAAGAGGAGATAAGCGTTGGTTCACAAAGGGCTGGTTTCACGGGTCAGAACCCCCCGTTTGGACAGCTGCTCTGGAGACACCACAAATGACAGCTAATAGATGCACCTCAGTCAAACCCATTTTCAGCCCAATCTTTTCTAGAAATGCATTTTCTAATGTTTTTTTTTAGTTCTTTTTTTGCAGAAAAGGTAAAAGTGTTGCATCAATATAATGTTTTTTTCCCGCAACATCTCTGAATAGTTCCAGCTTTCTTCACGCTGCACAGATTCATTCATTTCAGAACAGCTCCAACTTTGGGCTTTTGCATAATAGTCTTGATTGTTTCACAACACGTCTTAACCTTAAAAACCGAGTCGTCAACAGCTGTCACGACACAGACTAGTGGATCAAACTTGGACTTGTTAGATTGATGAGATTATTTAGCTAATGGTGATACCTGTATAGCCCTTGGGTTTGCTGCTACACGCAGAGCTAATTTTCTAGTATAAGCAGGATATTTCCAAGTGTTATTATTAATTTTTTACAGACTGCATAAGCTGGATTTAAGATTTGCATTAAAAAACAACAACTTTTGACTGGATTAGCTAAAGAATCCCGTTACAGTGCGTGTACGGCAGGGCATGTTGGGGTGTTTGTTTTCCATCTGTGACTGTTGGGTGTATTCTAGGTGACGTATGGCTTTATCTCAACAGAATACTGTTTTTTTATCTTTGGGGCAGGGTTGCATGGGGGTTCATCAGGATGTTCTTGTCACGTTTGTCAAAATTCAGGATCTTTGTGTCGTGTTTGATGTCTCTGACTATTCACAGCTCTGAAATGCTCATAATGACTGCAGGGTTGAATCCTTCTCTTCACCCCTCAGCCTTGGCCGCGATCTGAGGCGAGGTCACGGCTGTAGAGGGCGGCTGGGTGAGGGCCGACAGTTCAGGTCTTTCTCATGAACTTCCCTCTTCCCTGAACCTCATCCTCCTCGTCTTTCCCGGTTCTTAATGCCCCTTTTGTTCGGGTCCTGTAGCGGGTCACTTCTTGTGGAAGTAGATGGTGTGAGTGAGGCCTGACTCCACCATCGGTATCTGGTCTCTGATGATCTCAACCAACATCTCAGGGAACTCCACTTTCAGGGCCTGTGACTCTCGGAAGGTGTAGAAGCAGAAGTCCAGCAGGTTCCCGACGAGCTGCGCATCAAAAACACAGAACGTCATGAAAACAAACACCTTTCTCACCTTACAACTCCAAGGTTTGGTGTAACTTTAACACAGATGGAGCTTACTGATAGATTGTAAAGAAAATGATGCATATCCTCATGTGCCCCAACGGTGTGTATCTGTTTTGGGTTTTTTTTACTCAGCAATTAAAAAACATAATTTCAAAAACTTGGTTTCAAAAGAAAGCTAACATTTGGTAGAGTCCACCAGAAGTGTCAGCAAGACCACAGTTGCGTTGTTTTCAGAGAAAAGAAAGATGGCATGAATAAATTAGAATTTTTTCCCCCGTCAAATGATTTTTTTAATGCATTTTACTATAAATAAAATTCTTAGAAATATAATGAAAAAGGTCTTAGAAACAATAGATCCACTTGTAGACATTACTTGTGCAAAGATAATCTAAAGCAAAGTTATAAAGGTTACAATAAAAACATATCTAGGCCTCCTATATCACAGTTTTGCCAAATCTACAAAAGGAGTTTTTTGTTTTTACTTCAAATATATGAAAAAAAAACTTTCTTACAGTGTGTCTGAAATTACTTGATTGTTACTTGATTTTCAAAAACAACATCTAATTTTCACCCAGTTTCACTGAAACAGTCAGTCTGTCACTGGAAGCCAACTGTATGCAGATGATACAGTCGTATATTTGCAGGGTAAACTTTGATTTATATTCACACTGTACAAAAATAGCTGAAATGTTTGGGTCTTTTTTTAAACTAACCTACCTGTTGAGGTTGCAGGAATCTGCAAGTTAAATGTGGTTCAACAACACAAATACTTAAAACCGTCCTTTAAGTCTCAAAGAAAGACACAGATAGAATAAATTCATGTTGGCAACAATTCAGCAAATACAACATAACCCAACTCATGAAGCAGCAAAATATATACTTTCAGTGCCAAAAAAGTAACCATCAATCTCACCGTTCCTCAAAATACATATTTTTTTAGATTTGAAAACCCGATTAGATTTTGTGATGTCATTCCTATCTGTACAATATTAAATGGTTTGGCTTTGCCTCCTCTGAAGGATTTTATCCACCTTAAAGGTACATAGTCACATTATTTGACATTTATCTAATGTCTATAAAAGTAACCACTTCTTATGATAATTTAGGGTGTCCTCTTGATGTAGCATTAGTCATTTTTGCCTTTTGAGCTATTTTTATCTGTTCAATTGGTTAGAGAATACAACCTTCCTGTGTATACTGACCATAACAACATCTTTTGACTGGAATTATGTCAACGCACATACGTACAACTGGTTAACAAGCCGACACAATGGAGGCGAGCGAGTGTGGAACTCAAAGAATAGATGGAAAAAAAGGAAAAGTCGAAGGTCAAGTGTAAAAAGGCACAAGAAGTTTGACTCCAGGAGAGATAAAAGTGAAGTTGTGTTAGGAAAATTGTCTTACTAATAGAATACATTAAAACTGGAGCTGAGAATCGGAAAGTGTTCTGATGTTGCAGCGAAGTTTCCAGCTTTTTATTGCCACTACACTGTCAACGGTACAGAGCAACAAAATGAACTCTCTGGACTTAACCCATCCCCTTGGCGAGCAGTGGGCTGCCATTGTGCGGCACCTGGGGACCAGTCTGAGGTTAATGCTACGTTCAGATCGGACGCAGCGAAAGCAGCAAAATCGCGTCTGCTGCTTCATTTTTCCTGCTTGTATCAGTTAGTTCTGACGCGCGGCTGAAGCAGCTTTGCTGCTCTGGCTGTGCGGTGCAAAAGTGTGTCTGATGGCGTTGGGCGGAGCTTCACTATCCTTTCTCTGCCTTGCAGCTATATTTGCTGTGATCAGTGGGAATAAAGTAGTTTTGATATGTTTTTAAGTGAGAAAATACACCTGAAAACGTAATCAGTGCAGTCAGTTCATTCAGATTATCATCCTGCCTCCCAATGTTATTTCTGTCGGAGCCGCTCAGACCCCCACATACCAGCGGTGCGCCGACAGTAGGAATCCCTTCAACAGCAGCCTCTGGCCGGGTCGCCTCCTCGCGGTTCCCCGCGGCAGCTGGTAGGTGTTTTTCATCTAAATAATCAGATCTGCAGGCAGCAGGATAATAAAAGCGAACATATTCTGCCGGCAGATTTCTGCATTTTAAGTTAATTATGTGTTAATAAACTGTTTAAGAGGAGTGATCAGAGCGGTCTGTGTCATCAGTGCTGTGTCTCTCTCCCAGCCAGCTCCCAGATCAGCTTCTCTGATTGGTTGACGCGGCGCGTCGAGCAGCAAAAATTCAATTTTTCCATCTCGAGCAGCAGCGCGTTTGCGGCGCGTCACGCGCGTCAGATGCTTAAACGCGCCCGACACGCTGCGCCTGCTGCTCAAAACGCGCCGCGGGACCTTTTGCTGCGCCTTGACGCGCGTCAACCATTGACTTTGCATGTAAAGTCGCTGCTTCTGTCGCGCCAGCTGCGTCCAGTGTGAACGCAGCATAAGGGTCTTTGCTCAGGGACCCAGAGCGGCAGTCTGTGGGAGTGGGGTTTGAAGTCAGAACCTCAGAAGTTGATTGACACGCTAAGATATGTCCTTGCTAATAGTGCTACTGGTGTTAGCAATGTTGTTAAGACTTATACTCTGAGTTGTTTGATCTCTGCGAGGCAATACAGCACAGTACAGACTTATTTAGTAGCTGGGTTAATGGAAAACATCTGGCTCTCTGATAGTTTAGCAGTTCTGCCAGTAGATGGCACCATTTCTGTTAACATCAGCTCCTTGCTCCCAGTGCTGGGCTTCTATTTAGCCTCAAAAAGGACTATCTAAAAACAATCCGGACAGATAGGAGGCTTGGAGTATCGACTTCCATAATCAAGTGTGTTAGGATTATTTACTGATGTTATGTGAGCCTGTTAAACCCTAATAAATCCTGCCTGTTGTGTCTTCCTAAGTAGTTCCTCTGACAGGGTAAAAAGTCATCTTCATTATGGTACAGAGTTAAGAATGGAATGAGAGCGGTGTCCTTGATCTAAAAACAGTGTAATATTTTGATAAGGCTGGAGCCATGGATGTCTCCTCATTTACAAACTGCATGACGTAATGATATGATGATGTGGCAGACTGGAGTTGTATAAAATACTTTAACTTTGACAAGAAGCAAGCCTGGTTGGTAGCGCTGCCTTCTGTGACCCTAAGCAACTTCTCTGGTCTGAGTAAGATTACAATTTCTGTCAAAATCTGTTGTCCTGTTTCATGGTTATTCAATACATACACGTTATTATGTATTATTTAAAGAGTTTGTCACAAGCGATCTATTTTCAGGAAAAGAACCAGAGAGAGAAAGCTTAAAGGTGTAAGCACAGAGCTTTTCCTTTACAACTGGATTTTTGGGTATTTTTGGTATAGAAATATTACGTGACTTTATACCTTTAAACATGGTGTGGTCATGGAGGCTGAACTTTCCCTCTCAGAAAAAAAATATTTTTTTTTCATAGTGTTCATACTTGCAACCAAACATCAGGAATATTGCAACACTTAAATCCTTCAGTAGATCAGTGCAACTTTGGCACCTGGATGATCAGATCTACAGTCACAGTGTCGGCATGCGGTGTATTATAAATAATATTTGATGTGTGAACTGCCTGTGTTATTGTCTGCACTGATTTTATTTTTGTCTGCTAATTAAAATAATGCTTTTTGCTGATATTGTCTATTGCTGTGTTTCTTTTTCCTTTTTCTTTATGTGAGCTTTATGTGAGCTTTATGTCAGTTTTGTAAACACCAACCTGCCCTGGAACTATCGACAAACATTTGACTATATGGCTAACTCTGGCATATTTAATTTATGAACCAATACTGATTAACATGCATTGTTCCATTTTAAATAAATAATTAATTGAATGACTCCAACCTAACTTCAAATTGGCAGATTTTCATAAAAGAGCCCTGCTTTTATTATTTTAAAGTCAGCAGAATCTAGTTGATCCATGACATTTACAGAACCTCAACCAATCACAGCAGATAAAGACAAAGGCAGGCTGTGATCTGAAAAACCAACTCCTTGTAACTTGCAAAAAAAAAAAAAAAACAAGAATTAATGGGAGATACAGTTGGTAGTGTTGTGGTGGATTCAGAAAACCATCCGAGGGTTGCTAGAGCAGACAACAGATCAATACTTGGATGCAATATCGTGAAGAACATTACCAAGATTAAAGGGCTAATGTACAGGCAGGATCTAGAAAAACATATTTATGCATTTATCTTGGTGTCTTCATAGGTTCACCAGACAGCTGCGGCTGATCCAAAACGCTACTGCCGGTGTTCTCACAAGAACTAAGAAAGTAGAGCACATCAGCCTGGTTCTGAAGTCCTACTGGCTTACTGTAGAAAGACTGTTAGTCTATAAATCACTGAATGGTTCAGAACCTCAATAAATTACAGACTTCTTGTCAGTGTATCAACCTTTCAGACCACCTAGGTCTTCTAGTTCCAGCCTACTCTGTACACCCAGAACTAGAACCAAACATGGAGAAGCAGCATTTAGTTCCTATGCTCCACTGATCAGGAATAAACTCCCAGAAAACTGCAAAAGTGCTGAAAGTCTGAGTTATTTGAAGTCTAAGTTAAAAACCCATTTGTTTAGAGTTTCCTTTGACTGTTGAAATCAAACCGTTGACTGAGGTATTATTGGTTTAAAGCTGCGGTCCAACTGTTTTATTTGCTTTACTACCAATTTTTATCATGTTTTATCTCTACTTGCTTTTATTCTTCTTTTATTTTTCTTCTAATTTATTTTTTATTCATGTAAAGCACTTTGAATTATCCTTGTACTGAAATGTGCTATACAAATAAACTTGCCTTGAGGAGGAAACAGCACAAATGAGCTTGAATTCGTTTTGCTTTTCGAACAAGTCTGATTATCCTGGCAGACGTTTGCTCCTAGTTCAGTAAATCCTGAAGCAGATTTTAACAAAACCTGAATGTTTGGAATCTCTGAGATCTCTGCTTTCAGCAGTCATGGCATTTGCTTGTTTCAGAGACACGTAGTGAGCTCTGAGAAGGTTTCCAGTTATGACACTTTTTTTTTACTGTGTTTACTTATGGATAAAACCACTTTTGTGGAAGCAGAAGAAAACAAACGTTTTTTGTTACCCTTACTGTTTATAGATTCTGAAACTTATTGGTTATTTTACATGGCGCAGTTATCATAATACGTAGAGCTTTTTTACTATTCCTCTCTATAACTTGATCAATCATATACTAACAATCTACAATAAAAAAATAAGTAAGAATAGCAGAATGATTTGTGCTAATATCGTATCAGGTAATATCAGTATCTGTCAGTTCTCCAAGATACGATATTGGTGTCATATTGGAAGTGTATGGAAACCCCTAATTTAAACATTTGCATTTATAGTTGAATACAGACAATTTGCCGACACTGTTGAGCATTCTTTTTTATTTTAAACATTGAGTTTATAAAACTGTCAGTTGATGACAGAGATTGACGTTTTATATGAAGTCAGAATTCAACTCTGACTGCAACACAGATCCTTTTCCTGCATCACAAGCCACAACCAGGAAGAAAATGATACTTTCTCTCAAGATGCAAGATTTCCTGAAAAGCAGCCAATCATAGACTGTATACTTTCTGCAGAGGTTCCACCCTCAAAGGGACAAAAGTTGACATGATGGAACAGAGATAGCTGTCACTACCAAATCTGTACCATCAGCTCATTTGCACATGTGCACCCAGATATACATCTGGGTTTCCATAATTATGTAATTATGGTACTAAAAGTGCATATTTCTATCCTTAACTCATTAAGAATGCTAATCAACACCTTTAAAAGATGTTTTAATTGATGTTTGCAATTTTGATGCTTTTTACATTTTCACCGTTAAACACCTTGTCTGATGTGATCATCAGACATCAGAGGTGGGGACTCGAGTTTGTGACTCGTACTCGAGTCGCACTTAAGTCGCATATTTAATGACTTCAGACTCGACTTAGACTTGCGATTTCCGACTTGTGAACAATATTTCATGTTTTAAATGTTTTTTGTTTTACTAACTTGACTGATCGCCGCTCGCATTACCCGCACACAGCAGACGTTACAAAAAAAAAACGGCAGAGGGGCTGTCAAACGGTCATGTAGAAGTGAAAAGTAGACACGCTACGTGACAGCGCTACGTGACAACGCTACGTGATATACAAGCATGTATTTTTCACTTACCAGTTCAAGATAATGATCATTCCATAGATAGAATTATTGAACTTATTTTTATTAATCATGTGATTAGAATTTATTGTGCGATTAATTTAATATTTCAACAGGCCTACTCTTGACTTGGACTTGAGCTCTCAGACCTGACACCTGACTTGGACTTGCAAAAAATGACTTGTGAACATGTCTGTCAGACATAGTCAGAGCAGTCCGGCAAAATATGATTAAACCATGTTTATCTGCATTTTAGTTGTTTCTTTCTTTAGTTTACACACTATATACCATAATGTGAACATAAAAGGAAAACATTAAAGTGAAAAAGACTAGATTTAGGTTTAAATCCAAAACCGAAAAAGTTAGCTCCCAGAAGTATTATAGGATCCCATTTCCGGGACAGATCGGACACAGAGGAGTAATAAAACAGAAAGGATTTTAAAGCATTTATTTCTCAGGAAATACATTATAGTTATATTATAGTTTAGTATGCTTACCATTTTTAAGAAGGTAAAAACGTATTTTAAGTATTTCTTTGAAAAATTCAATCCAGGGCGACCCAGATGTAGATCTGGTTGCGCATTTGCAAGTGAGCTGATGGTACGGACCGTGTTTCCAGGACGAATCGGGTAGTGACAAAAGGTCCACATGTGAATAGGGGAGAATCTACAGGGCCGTATGTATGTGTGATATACTGGGGGCCTCGTGGCAGTGAATCTACATGCATAAAATATGCATGAAGAGTATTGTATGTGCGTGTGTGTACTAAATAAAATTGATGGTATTAGTAGTTATTGTGTGTGTGCCTTTTGGGCAGAATTCTGACTTCATAGCTCTGATCAAGCCATCATCTGAACACGGAGAGAGGAGAGACCAACTGTAGACCTACCAAGACATGGAAATCCACCTGGACTTCAGGAGATGACTCAGGTTAGAGAACAAATTGGCATATCTCACTCTGAATATTTGGTCTTCCTGGGAAGTGGGAAGAAATCCACTCTGATAGAGGAAACCTTGGTTTCCAACTGGTTTAAAGCAAACATGAAACTAACCATTCACACAACACACAAAATACTACTCCCTCAGCAAACAGAGGTGGCAGCACCCTGCTGTGGGTATGGAGTTTCCTCTACAGGGAAATGATTCATAAGACTATGGATGGAAGATAATCTGCGGGCTGCAGAGAACTGACTGTGGCAGAGGTTCTTCTTCAAGTGGGCCACCTACTCCGAACCCTGTGTAGATCATTAGACCAGCAAGCTAGAGCTTTCTCATTAAAACTCATCATTCTACTGGTTTATCACGTAAAACCCCAGTAAAATACAACACATGTTGTGGGGATGTTAAGGAGGTCTTAGTGATGTCACAGGAATGGGGCCTTTTGTTCGTCCCTTCTTCATGTTAGAGGAATTTGAACAGGGACATCTAAAGACATCAGATGTGGATTTTTCAGCTGACCGCTTGGGGGCAGCCCGTCTTCCTTTATAGAAAGGTCAAAGCGTCAGCACAAAGCCCAATTACCTCATCATAAGGCTGAATTCATTCTGGCGAGTATCGTTATGACTTCTGTCTTGCTGATCTGCACCTAGAGGCGATGTTTTTGCGCCCGCTGACCCTTGCATAGCAACGTGACCGTCATTTAGCACATTTCCCACAGTGGCACCTCTGTGCCCTGATCCAATAAGCTGTAGCTGCTATTGATCCCTTTCTGTTCCGTTCACCAATACAGTGAGGCCACTGCCTCTTCCAAAATCCCCCCCGCCCCCTTCCCTCCCCTCAGGGATGCAATTATCCTCACTGAGAATGACACAATGCTATTGAACCACAAACTAAAGCATTAACCAGAATCCACTATGTTGCCATTTTACTCAACTTTTCCTTCAAGGGTAGAGCACCAAAGTGGCAGTGGAAAATAGGGAAGTCTGTTCAGGATGAACCGGATCAGGGAAACTTACATCATGCATGGCGTCCAGCAGCTTGGTGAGCTGGAAGAAGCGCTGCCAGGTTTGGCCAGAGTTGTTGGTGGCCTTTCCCACAGAGCGCCGCAGCTCCTTGATGTAATTCACCCTCATCTCCTCGAACGCTGCCTGGTTCTTCAGGCCCTCTTTGGGAACTGGAAAACAAACATTATCTGAATTACATAAAAACAACAACAACAAAACTTTTCCATACTCCATCCCTTTAAAAGAACATCAGCCAATCTTGGTGAAAAATTACTAGAGCAGATTTTAGTCAATAATCTGCAGATTTTTGTTGAAAATGTTGGACCTGGATTTACTTCTTTATTCATCTTAATACCTTGGAAATAGCTAGGAAATCCGAAATGAGGCATTTTTATTTAGATTTTTTTTAAAGAGACATTAATTACTTTAAGTGTGTTCAGTTATACACTACCGTTCAAAAAGTTGGGGTCACATTGAAATGTCATTCTTTTTGAAGGAAAACCACTGTACTTTTCAATGAAGATAACTTTAAACTAGTCTTAACTTTAAAGAAATACACTCTATACATTGCTAATGTGGTAAATGACTATTCTAGCTGCAAATGTCTGGTTTTTGGTGCAATATCTACATAGGTGTATAGAGGCCCATTTCCAGCAACTATCACTCCAGTGTTCTAATGGTACAATATGTTTGCTCATTGGCTCAGAAGGCTAATTGATGATTAGAAAACCCTTGTTCAATCATGTTCACACATCTGAAAACAGCTTAGCTCGTTACAGAAGCTACAAAACTGACCTTCCTTTGAGCAAAATTAAGTTTCTGGAGCATCACATTTGTGGGGTCAATTAAACGCTCAAAATGGCCAGAAAAAGAGAACTTTCATCTGAAACTCGACAGTCTATTCTTGTTCTTAGAAATGAAGGCTATTCCATGCGAGAAATTGCCAAGAAATTAAAGATTTCCTACAACAGTGTGTACTACTCCCTTCAGAGGACCACAAAAACATGCTACTGCGGGCACTATTTAATGAAGATGCCAGTTGGGGACCTGTGAGGCGTCTGTTTCTTAAACTAGAGACTCTAATGTACTTATCTTCTTGCTCAGTTGTGCAACGCGGCCTCCCACATCTTTTTCTCACTCTGGTTAGAGCCTGTTTGCAGCTAGAATAGCTATTTACCACGTTAGCAATGTATAGAGTGTATTTCTTTAAAGTTAAGACTAGTTTCAAGTTATCTTCATTGAACAGTACAGTGCTTTTCCTTCAAAAATAAGGACATTTCAATGTGACCCCAAACTTTTGAACTGCAGTGTAAATAATTTAAATTATTAACAAAGCATGTAGACATAAAAAAGTGGCTACATGTTGCCCAGTCAGACATAAAGACTGTCTGACTGGGCAACAATCTGCCTGACCAAAAACCCACAGAGAATCTGTGCAACAGAAGATCAGAAAACCTAGAGCAACAACATAGAGGCGGATATTAAAGCATTCTGGTCTTCACATTTCAGGGCTGGTCTCATTCATGCCACCCTTCACTGGTCCGTATGAAAAGATCCCCCGTTATATTGCAGTGCATTATTTGCTTTATTATATATGAGCACTATTTTTGGTATAGATAGATAACAAAAAAAACCCAAATATATACAAACACACACACACGTATATATATATATATATATATATATATACACACATTTTTTTGTAACGAAACCCCTTTTGAATAATTACATCCAATTTTTTAATGACCAGGGATGTTAAGCCTTGTTTATTTAGCTGAAATCCAATATAACTGAACCAAACATAAAAATGTAAAAACAAACCTAAATATAATTTCTTTTTTGTTTCTTTTACAGAGCAAGTTAAAGAGAGCACAGTTTCAGAAATTAAAGTTTAGAAATATTTGCTGCATTGAACCTCAGCTCTACAGCATGCCTTCCCCACAGCTTTAAAATACCAAAAAAGGATAAAAATCCACCACTGAGAAATCTGTCTGAAACGTCAACAATATGGAGTTAGTTTTAAACTGTTTAGAATTGGCTGGCAAGCACTGGTTTAACTGAATTTGCAGAAAACAGGCCAAACCCTCCACAGCCATCAGTATGTTCTTTAATGATGAGATGTGGAGCGTTGTAAAGGCTAATTAGAGCTGCTCAGTGAATTAGGCTTCCACTCCCACTCACAGGCATGGATTTGGGGGCATTTTCTCTCTGTTTGTGATTTAAGCCAGTTTAGCAACTTGCTTTTATCACATGCACCATTTCAAGGGTAATTAGCTGCAGATTTGTGACCTGGAATTAAAGACTAAAAGTCATTCCTGGAAACTTCTTAGTAAACATGACAAGCGTTATGTGAAGGTAGCAGTCCATCTTTAAAAAATAATGTCTCACTTAATGACAAAGAAGGTTCTAGTCTGTACATTAAGAAGAATCTTAGATTTAATACATTTTAAATAAATCAAATAAAAGTTCAAAACAAAATGCACCAAAAATAAATAAAAACGGAAAATAACCTCTAATATTAAAACTCCACTTTGATCACACTCTGATAATGATGCAGAAATTCACCTGTAAAGTATCAAAACCAAAACTAAACCGAATTACATTCAAACCTTTTTTTATTAGATTTTGCAGTTAAACCACATCAATTATAATAAAGAGTTAATTCAACCCTGACTTTCCTTAATTTTCATGCATTTTTTAAAATACCCACCCTCCTTGCTTAAAAAAAAAAAATGCACATGCACAACCCTGTACCCGTTCCCAGGAGGGAACGCTTATCAAATGCATGCTCTTTTTAAAAGTTGCTGTTTGTTTCGTAAATACAAGCTTACTTTCTAAAAGAAGATTCGCAATTTTTCCACCATGTCACACTCACCACTGATAAGTTAAAATGGGGACGAGCACGAAGGACGGCTTTACATAAACATATCACCAGAATGATTGACAGTTAGGAGGACCATTTATTTAGATGATCCACCTGGAAAAAGAACATTCTCCACTATACCTTTGATATAGACAGTGAAGCTAATGTTAGCTTGGCTCATAAGAAGTCCCGAATTTAACTTAATTCATCATTTTAAGGCGTAGTGTTACTACTGTCAGAACACATTCAAGACTATTAAGTTAGTTAATGATGGCTACAATTAACCGATTTTTTACTATTTTAAAAATCAGCAACTAGCCTGAAGATGGTTTGCCATTAGTAACCACTACCAGGAGGAAAACATTAGTGTCCAGGCTCCACTTTCATGCATTGACAGTGGGACACGTGCATTTCATCAAGTGCACACATTCATACGCCACACTTTGAATTCCTCACTCTAAAACAAGTGCATGCACTTACTGATACCTCAGATACCAGACCCTTAGGCTCTAAAATTCAACATTTTTATTCAATTTCCAAAAATTTTATACTACAGTCTTTTTAGGTAATGCAAGTAAAAGAAAAAAATAGGCAAAATGCACGTTTGTGGGAATTCCTCTTTTCTGGTAAGTGCATAGTGCATCAGTACATAATGCCAGGCACAGCGTGCTGCACTACTAAAAAAAAAAATACAATGGCAGATCATAATAGAAGTCTATGAGGAGTTACTCCAGACCAGGCGGGCTTGGATCCAGCACCTATTTGATGCGTCTGTGCTTTAACACACTGAAGTCCAACAATCGTAGGACTCTGCAGAACTGGACTCTATGCTGAAGGGGTCACTAAACCATCTGATTCAGGACTGTCGGACCATAACATATCTAAAAGTTGCAGGACACCGGCCCTCGAGGACTGAGCTTTCAAGGCTCAGTCGCATTTGAGGTTCCGTCTTGAAACAAGACGCCTGAAGGCAACTATAAAACTCTGTGCGGCATTTCCAGGTAGCTAGAGGAGGATTTATTAAGGTAAATGTTAGCAATAATGAAAAAAAACTAACCGATTTACATAATCCTGAGTGACTTTAGTCTTTATCCGACCATTTGGTTTAAATGTGAAGGTTCGTCTAGTCTATCGCTTCATCCGTCAACGTCAGCAGGAAATGAACTTTAACCACAAAGTCTCTGTGTTTGCATGGAGATGTAGAACTTTGCCTGAGCAGGCCGACGGTCTGGTACCAAATCCAAACAGGGTCATGAGCCACCATGGGCTCAGCGGAACCTCAGCCAAGGTCAGAGGGAAATAAAAGCATCGTCTCTTTGCTCTTTATCTCCTCTCTGTGTTTCACCTCATCACCCCATGAAACACACAACGCCCAAAGATATCCACACAACTGGACTCAGCTGACACCTCCTCTGTAGACAAATGCTGTGTCTGATGGAGAGTAGAACCCGTCTTTCCTGCAGCACAGATGGTCTTTTTACCCCTTTATGGTGCAGAACCTTCATCATGTGGGCTGTGATGAGAATCCAAGCGAAGGATGATGACCTCATTTCTCCCAACATTTCTCAGCTGTAATAAGATTCCGTACCAAAAAAAAAAGAACTCGTTTGTGTATGGAGGGAGTTTTGTCCCATTATCCTTGCAAAGAACTGATTCAAGTAAAATTTGAAAAAATGCAATCCAGAAACAAAACTTTGCAAACAGTTTCAAAAAACAGTCAAAATAGATTTTAAGAGTAACTAGCAGCTGCTCAGATTTTGTTATTTCAACTTTTTTATTTATTTATTACATATTATTAATAAAGATATTTTCAGCTTTAAGTTATCAATTTTCTATTCTTCAAACTTTATTTTAGAGGCTAAAAAGTTACTTAATTTGAATTTAATTTCTGTTTCTCAGATTGACTTTTAGAAGTTGCAACCATTGAAAATTGTATTTTACATTCTCCTCACTTCTAGACCAACACAAAATCTCGCTCTGACCAATAAAAATGTTGCTGCTAACGACCAGCAGACCAATAGAAATGCATCTCTGCTCCACACTCAGAGAAAAGCCCACACTGAAATGAAGAGAATGTGATTTAAAAAATGCATATTATAAAGAATGATATTCAGAAATGTGAAAAAAACTATGAAATGTAAAGTCTGAAAAAATAAAAACAAAATAAAAGAATCTGAGAAAACAACAAAGTTACTCTGAAAACCTTTTTTTAATTGAAATGTTTTTATTGTTATTATTTTTTTTGCAAAAATAATAAAATAAATTCCCTCCATTACTGAAACTCCTCTAAGGCCCTGTTGTCATTCT